GAGCATCTGGAATCTCAGCAGAAGGGCAGAAAAGGAGAAGATAATGGCGCAATGCCAGAAAACAAAATAATGGCTTCCCAAAGATATTCCTATTCCCATGCCTAGCGCCTGTGAATATGTTCAAAGAGCTGAGTTTAAACATGGAATTAAAGTTGCTTATCAGCTCACTTTAAGCTGGTGGGCCCAATGTAATCACAAGTGCTCTGCAGAGTGGAGGGAATGACACAGAAGAAAGAGAGGGGCCAACACTGTGGCAGAAAGGGTAAAAGACACCGCCTGTGATGCCAGCATCCCATATAGGCACTGGTTCAGGACCCAGCTGCTCCACTGCCAATCCAGCTCCCTGCTAATGCACCTTAGAAAGCAGCAGAGAATGGCCCAAGTTCTTGGGCCCCTGCACCCGTGTGGCAGACCTGGAAGAAGCTCCTGGCTTCCACCTGGCCCAGCGCTAGTTGTTGTAGTCATTTGAGGAGCAAACTAACTGACAGAAGATCTCAGTCTCTCCCTCTCTCTTTCAGATAAATAAAATAAGTCCTTTAAAAAAAAAAGTCAGAGGGAGCAACTACGGAGGACGCTCAAAGAGATTTTGGGCTCCTGTCTTTGAAGCTGGCAGAAGGGGGCCAAGGACCAGGGACTATTGGTGGCCTCCAGAGGTGGGTCCTTCTCAGATTATTTATTAAGATTTTATTTAAACTGTCAAGTATACAGGTATTAATTGTTTAGGAAATCACCTAGTGCCTCAACATAAAAATAAAACATTTTATCTTTGGGAAAACAAAGAGACAATGCACTGTGCTGATGTCTTTTCATTCCAAGAAATCTGTGTCAGACTTATCTACCTACAGAATTATAAGATCAATTTGTGTTGTTTGAACCACTACATCTATAGTAATTGGTTATGGCAGCAAAATAAAACCAATACAAATGCCTTCACGATTCTGAGAAAAGTATTTCCAACTGATTAGTCTGTATTCAGACATACTGCTAATTGAGTGTAAGTGTAAAGATACATTCAGACAGTCAAGATCTCAAAGAAATGAGGCCTGATATACCTTTTCTGGAAAACTGCTGGAGGATGAGGTCTTCCAAAACAAAAGAAGAAACCAGAAAAGTGGAAGTCAGGTGTCTGGGGAACTGACCTGGATCCAACCGTGGAGAGCACAATAGGGACAGCCAGGAGAACAGGTGTTCTGCAGGTGCAGACAGCACAAGCCCAGCCAAGACAGCTCAGGCAGTTAGGAGTTCTCAGTGGGTGTGGCTGGGGGCTGGCAGAGCACTGGATGTGTGTGCCCATATCACAAAGGGGTTTCAACTATTTTGAAAAATTGTGTTAGAGTTTGTGATAGTGATATAGAAGACTGAGCGAACAGGCATGTTGTAACACTAGGAAAAACAGGGTTATTTTCAAAAGGAAATATAATTTTCATATCCTGGTTGTCTCAACAGTGAGTTCTATTTGCCTCTTAATAATACGAATACAGACATAAGTTGATGAGAAGGGTGCAGGAAAGAAAACAGAAGGCCTGGGTTGCTACAACTCCATCTCCACTGGTTTACTCTTTGTGTGTTTATAGACTGGACACAAATGTGGATGCATCACAATCCTTGGTTGATGGCACATCCTTGACATTGGCTCATGTATGACCTGCTTTTAGTCATCCAGTTAGTTGATTCTTTTTCAATCATATATACCCCTATGAACCCATGGCCTCAAACAAAAGCTAACCCTTGGACAATGCTCTATCTCTAACCCTATGGCCCCCACATCACCACCCCCATACCAGTCCAGACTCCTTCTCCACTGCATGAAAGAACTAACACCCTGTGTTTGTGATCCTTTTGCCCTCGTCATCTTTAAACTGAGCATCTTAAATTCATAATCAACCTGAAGCAAGGTCCCTACTAGACTAAAGTCAAGAGAGGAAGAGGAGCAGTTACAACCCAGAACTTTGTCCCATGATGCAGCAAACAGCCTGTTTCCTGCAAGAGAACTTACAAACCCTCACAAAGCAGACCTGAGTCCAGGGTTTTTTCACATTAAATACATTAGGTTTGTTTCCCTTTTTTCAAGATGTGCCCATCATTACAGGTTTTTTTCCCCCCTCCCCTTACTCCTTAAAATTGAAGGAGAACTGAGGAATATAGAAGTGAGATGCTAAGAACCAGGGTCTACGGCACTGGGAAGCTGACCACATGTATCTACCATCTTCAGGCTGCTCTCTGAGACAAGGATGGCTCCCCAAAGGATGCTGTAAGACTCCCAGTATTCCCAGATTCCTCAGACACCCTGGAAGGGCTCCCAGCCACACAGAGGCCCTGGTGATGCATCTCAAGCTGGCAGCATGGAAGTATTAGCTGTGTTCTGCCTGTGCTGCCTGAATACTTCCAGCCAAGCTGGCGAGGAGATGGCTCTTTGCCCTGGCAACCTGCCCTGGTCAGCCAAGCAGGCACCAACAGCATGGGCATCACTTGGGAACTTGCTTGGAAGATGATTCTAATCAGAATTAAGTGCACCATGATCCTGACCCTACCAGAGCCAGGATCCATACACTACTGAGCTGCAAGGGGTCTTGGGGCTCACCTAGTCAATTTCCCAGAATATGCAACTCAAACACTAGTTGTCAGGATGGTTAACAGGTTTACTCTCCCCACAAAAAAAAATCATGTCATAATCAAGAAAATTTAGAGAACACTGGAATAATATATTTCTTCTACATACCTTCTCAGAACCTAATCTCCAAGATTCGGCATCTTCAGCTGTTCAGAGGTTTAGCTACTGAGGTTTGCTGAATCCCAGTTTTCTCAGCTACAGTAATAATGGCCACTGTGGAGGATCACTGTGAGGGAAAGTGAGCTCAGGAGCCCCTAGCACTGCACATGGAAAACATTAACAAATCTCATTCCCTTCCCTGCACCTTGCATTTTGCTTTCAATTTTTCCTCCAGGCTCAGCAAATTACCTCTATTTACAACAGTCTGTGAAATTGTTTAAAATAGGTTTCTTGGGCTCTGAATGGCATCAGGGTAATTATGTATGCAAGGAAGGCTCCCACCCCGCTTACCTGGCTGGATCTTGGGACCCCGGGCCCAGTGGAGCAGGAACCAGGTAAATCCAGGGAAGGCAGTGCCCAGTGCAGGGCAAGACAGGGGCTCTCAAGCCACAGGTGATGGCTTCACCTCATCCTGACTCAGCACACTGAGCTCAGGTGCGGATTCAATCACAGGCGAAGGGCTTGGCAGCCGGCTCAGTGAGAGACACTACATGAAGAGCCAGAGGTTTCCTCTCTTTGTACTCGACTTCCCACATGTGAAATCCTGGTGTTAGGCTGGTCAAGCCACTATGGAAGTCAGTCTGGAGATTCCTCAGAAACCTGAAGATAACCCTACCATTCAACCCAGCCATCCCACTCCTTGAAATTTACCCAAAGGAATTTAAATTGGCAAACAAAAAAGTGGTCTGCACCCTAATGTTTATTGCAGCATAATTCACAATAGCTAAGACTTGGAACCAACCTAAATGCCCATCAACGGTAGACTGGATAAAGAAATTATGGGACATGTACTCTTTAGAATACTATACCACAGTAAAAAACAATGAAATCCAGTCATTTGCAACAAAATGGAGGAATCTGGAAAACATCATGCTGAGTGAAGTAAGCCAGTCACAAAGGGACAAATATCATATGTTCTCCCTGATCGGTGACAACTGACTGAACACCAAAAAGGAAACCTGTTGAAGTGAAATGGACACTATGAGAAACGGTGACTTGATCAGCATAGCCCTGACTGTTAATGAACAACTTAATACATTATCCCTCTTAGTATTTTTTTTGTCTGTTCTACTTAATATGACTGGTTTAATTCTGTAATTATCACACAGTTATTCTTAAGTGTTGAAAATTAACTGAAAAGTGATCACTGTTAAATATAAGAGTGGGAATAAGAGAGGGAAGAGATGTACAATTTGGGACATGCTCAAGCTGACTTGCCCCAAATGGTAGAGTTAAAAACATACCAGGGGATTCCAATTCAATCCCATCAAGGTGGCATGTACCAATGCCATCTCACTATTCCAAGTGATCAATTTCAGTTCACAATTGATCATAATGAAAGGACTAAGAGTCAAAGGGAGCACATAAACAAGTCTAGTACCTGCTAACACTAACCGATGGAATAAAGGGGAGAGTGATCCAACATGGGAAGTGAGATACTCAGCAGACTCATAGAATGGCAGATGTCCTAAATAGCACTCTGGCCTCAGAATCAGCCCTAAAGGCATTCGGATCTGGCTGAAAAGCCCATGAGAGTATTTCAGGCATGGAAAGCCAAGACACTCTGGGGAAAAAAAATGACCTAAATGAAAGATCTCTGTGAGATCCCAGTGGAAAGAACAAGTCTTCAAAGAAGGAGGTACTTTTCTCTGAAGGGAGGAGAGAACTTCCACTTTGACTATGACCTTGTCTAAATAAGATAAGAGTCAGTGAACTCAAAAGGCTTCCATAGCCTTGGAAACTCATGACTGGAGCATAGGGAGATTACTGATGCCATAAACAGGAGTGTCAATTTGTTAAGTCAACAACAGGAGTCACTGTGCACTTACTCCTCATGTAGGATCTCTGTCCTTAATGTGTTGTACATTGAGATTTAATGCTATAACGAGTACTCAAACAGTATTTTTCACTTTGTGTTTCTATGTGGGTGCAAACTGTTGAAATCTTTACTTAATGTATACTAAACTGATCTTATATTTATAAAGAAAATTGAAAATGAATCTTGATATGAATGGAAGGGGAGAGAGAGTGGGAAAGGTGAGGGTTGCGGGTGGGAGGGAAGTCATAGTGGGGGAGAAGCCAATGTAATCCATAAGCTGTACTTTGGAAATCTATATTCATTAAATAAAAGTTAAAAAAAAAAACAATTCCTGGTGTTAGGCTACATCCCCTCCATGCTCCCTCAGTCAAATCCACGTGAATACTGACAAAATCACAAGTCCCAGAGGCACAGCCAGAAAGATATTTTATTGAGACTGGAACAATTCACAAGAAAGCACTCTTTACAGCACAATAGAAAAACTCAAGTTTTACCAATTTCACATTCACAGTTAGAAAGCACTTTGCACTCTGCAGCACACAGCCAACATGGGAAAGGGAGCAGACAGGGTGCTGATAGGCGAGCCAAACCAAGAGGGTTCTGTGCCTTGGCAGTGTCTCCGGATACCCTCGGAGCAGGGTAAAGGAAGCTTTCCCCCTGAATCCCAGAGCAAGACACCTGGTGTCCCTCTGCCTGTTCCCATCGTGTCCACAGAATCTCTATGGCTGTATAGCAATGGAACTATTAGCTACTTCTTGACACCACGGAGACAATGACTACAGGCACAAGCACAGGGCCCATCTGGCCTGAAAACCCCACTGGGGGACCCCAATGGCCTTAGAAGGTATCTTTTGCCCCACCAAAAGTCACTTTTTAAACATGTCAGTAAAAGATCTTTTTAAATGTTGCATCCTAAACTTTTTCAAACATCCTTATTACACAGACCCCCATGGTTCATTATAGGGAGGCAGATGATGTAGCCAAGTTCAGTTTTAATTAACAACCAAGAGATCTAAATGAATCTCAGACAAACTCCTTCTCTTCCAAATCTGTTTCCCATTCACCTCCATATCCATGCTTTGCTTTCATGATCTGGCTGGGAGGAGCCCTAAAACCAGTATGACAGCAGCTATTGCATGGGGCTGGGGAGTGAAGCTCCACTCTGCCTGATACATCTCCCTTCTGGGTGACACATGAGTCAACCAAGACCAGATGGGAGGTAATGAAAACGTTCAATCTCTGGAATAGGAGCTGGAGACAGATCCTTCCCCGGCCTCTTCCCAACTTCCTCTACCTCATAGCTGCAGTGGGTTCCACGGATGACAGGTCTGTCTGCCCAGTCTGGAGCTGGGTTAAGGGCAAGTGTGCCCTGCAAAGGAATAAGGTGCCTCAAGGGTCCCATAGGTTGTTGTGACAGGTGAATTGCCTTGATGATATTCACAGCAAATCTTCTTTCAAAAACTGGTGAGAGAAAATATTCAGACAATGCAGAAAAATGGCCTGTCTAGACAGCTTGGCAGATGAGTTGTCTAAGCACTATTTTCTCCGGTGTGTTGGAAAGCCTGTCCCTTTGCCTGCTGTGAAAACAGAGCAATGTTCCACCACCTCTTGTTTCTGTGGACTAGCAGGGAAGGAGGACTTATACCTCCTGCTGCGTCTCTTTTCCTGGCTCACCCCAGCAGCTACCGTCTAGGAGAGAAAGGTGAGCCAGGACCTGCTCAAGAGGGGGCCATTTCTGCCAGTGCGGCGAGTCTTCCCCTTAGGTTCCTCTCTCATCTCTTCTTTAACCCTTGGGAGAAAGCTCAGACTCTGCTGTGCATGTTTCTTGCTGATCCATAGAGTTTACATGGAAAAGCATAGTTAGAATCACACAAACACACACACACACGTATGCACAAGGAAAGATCAGCAAGTAAATTCCCAGCATGTGAACAGAGGTTGTCATAAGTTAATACTGGGGTGCCTTTTATTTCCTCCTTTGTGCTTCTTTTCTGAGCTTTTCAAAGTGGTAAATCTTTCTCTTTGCTTTAAGGAACCCAAGCTAGTCCTTTCTTGCCACAGAGAGGGCCAGGCCAGTGACGATGTGGTCCAAAGACTTCACAAAGCAAGACATAAAAGCCTCCATGCTAGCGCTTCCCTGGCCTGGTGCACCTGTTTCCAGCAGGGCGCTGTGCAGCCAGGGCAGCCACCCCAAAGCATGACTCCGGTTTCCCTTAGGGATGCTCTGTGATAGGAAGGGTTGCACGGCAGTTCACTCAGCTCCCACCAGGGCTGAAGTTGCTGCCTTTGGTTCTCTGGCTCAGGGGCCCGGGTACTATGCCTGTTAGACAGGAATTTATAAATACACATGTGGTTGACAGCTGTCTTTTTCTTTTCACATCCAGCAGGAACTGAAGCCTGGGCAATTTCCTAGGCACTTAAGAGTCCTACAGCTGCTGCGAGCACTTGACTGGAGCATTGTTAAGATAGTGTGAGGAAACAGGCTCTTCCTAGCCCTCCCCAGCCTCTTCCCAACTTCCTCTAACTCATTGCCACAATGGGTTCCACAGATGACAGGTCTGTCTTCCCAGACTGCAGCTGAGATGAGGGCAAGAGGTTATGGGCCAGTGGAGCCCTCCGGCCATTGCTCTTGTCCATCCAGGCCACCCGGGAGGAAGGGACCGGGGAGGGCGGCCTGTCCTCCTGAGGCTTGGGCAACCTTTGGCACATGCTCAGTAATGCCTTGAGCTCCACTCTGAAATTCTCATTCAGCCAGCAGTAAATGAACGGATTGTAGCAGGTGCTGCTCATGGCAAACCAGTGGAAGGCAAAGTAGAGGGCATTATTGGTGCGGATGACCTTGCTGGAGAGGAGGAGGACGTAGCAGTTGAGGGGGAACCAGCAGAGGGCAAAGAGGACCACTACCAGCACCAGCATCTTGATAGTGGTCTTCTTCTTGCGCCGCAGGGCGAGGTACTGCTCTGTGGTCACGTCACCAATGGTGTTGCACAGCCACAGCTTCTTGGCTACGCGAGCGTAGGCCACGGAGATGATGAGGAGGGGTAGGATGTAAAGCAGGATGAAGGTGGCCAGATCCAGGTACTTCCAGAAGAGGTCGGCTGGCTCGGGGAAGTCGGGCAGGCATAAGGAGCGCACCACATCCTCGCTGGGGGCGGAAGTCGGGGGCAGCAGGAGAGAGTGACAGAGAGGCGGGATCAGTACCGAAAGGCTCCATCCCAAGAAGCACCAGCCTCTCTCTCTGCCACACCCCTCTACATCAGTCACTGACGCCACTTTTGATGCAGGAGCCTAATTATCTGTTATATTTCTGCTCCCTTACTACGCTGGGGGTTCTATAAGGGTAAAGAATCCACCTGAGGCCGGCGTCGCAGCTCACTAGGCTAATCCTCCGCCTTGCGGCACCGGCACACCGGGTTCTAGTCCCGGTCAGGGCACCGGATTCCGTCCCGGTTGCCCCTCTTCCAGGCCAGCTCTCTGCTGTGGCCCGGGAGTGCAGTGGAGGATGGCCCAAGTGCTTGGGCCCTGCACCCCATGGGAGACCAGGATAAGTACCTGGCTCCTGCCATCGGATCAGTGCGGTGCGCCGGCCGCAGCTCGCCAGCCGCGGCGGCTATTGGAGGGTGAACCAATGGCAAAAGGAAGACCTTTCTCTCTGTCTCTCTCTCTCTCACTGTCCACTCTGCCTGTCAAATAAATAAATAAATAAAAATTAAAAAAAAAAAAAAAAGAATCCACCTGAATCTCTCTGCACCTTTTCCCCTTGCACTATGCTTAGTCTGTGTAGAGACCTAGTCGATCTTAGGATAGCCATGTGGCTTTCTGCTCTTGCTATACAATGTTGCTTCAAAACGTTCATGGAAAATGGAATTCACACGCAATGGTATTTTCATGCAAGAAGTTTTGAAACCCATGCACAACTGCTTCATGATGCATTTCCCACAGACTTCTTCAAGAGCCCCTCATATGTGGTGGAGGCCATCACCAACAAAATAAAAACCCCATTTTCTTTTTATTGCACAAAATAAAGTCCTGTGAGTATGCAGGGAGATGAAGACTGAGTGTTGGGGGCTCTGAGTGTATGATTTATTTGAATATTCTAGAATTTGAGGATGGGGCTTAATAAATTAATGGAAATCAGCCTTCAGGGCTTGTTCCTCTTTTTAATTTTTTAAAATTTATTTATTTATTTTCATCTTATCTGAAAGCCACAGAGATAGATCTTCCATCTGTTGGTTCACTCTGCAAGTATCCCCAACAGCCAGGCCTGAGCCAGGAGCCAGGAACTCAATCCAGGTGTCCCGCATGGCTGGCAGGGACCTGTGGGGAGCAACTCGGACTAGACTAAGTTACTGGAATTAAGACTTATTCTATGCATCTGCTCTCCCACAATATGGTGCTGGGAGAGGAGGAAACAGCTTCTACGCAGCTGCCTCTCGCCAACTTGAGTGATGACCTGCAGGAGCTGATCCTGCTCCTGATTGGAGGAGAGCAGCGTACTCGGCGTGTGGGCAGCCGAGTTGAGATTGGCGGAAGAGGACTATAAAGGAGGAGAGAGAAAACATGCACCAGGAACATCTAAGGGGAACACCTGTGCAGCCCCCGAGAGAGCCGGCCGGCGGTGTGCCGCTCCCCCGCGGAAGTGGGGAAAGTGGCAGGGGGAACCGCCCTTCCACGGAGGTGGAAGGGTCGGTAGCCAACTCGGGAAGAACCAGCAGCAAACCCGGGGAGGGCCGAGCAGACAAAAGAACAGCGCAGGGTCCTGTGTTGTTCCTCCACGAAGAGGGGGAGCGACAGGGACCCACACATCTGAGTCATCACCTGCTGCCTCCAGGGTGATCTTGAGCAGGAAGCTGGGATTGGAAGCAGAACCAGTGCTTGAACCCAAGCACTTCCAAGCAGGATGCAGGCACCCCAAGCAGCGTTTTACCCACTATGCCAATCACTGCTTCCAGCTTGTTCTTGCTCTGCTTCTGTCACAAGTATGTGTGTGTGTTTCAGGTGGGCAGCACATGGCTACTGTCACAACACTCGCAGCACCCTGCCTGGATCCCCTCTGATCCTTCTCCCAGCACCTAGCGCCTGCCTGCGCAGTGAAAACAGCTGGCACCTGCAATCATCTGGCCCCTAATAATGACCCTTCACACAGACACACTAAGACCCTTCACACAGACACACCAAGAGCCAGAAGAGCGAGGGGTTTTGTTGACCCCAGGAAAGGCTGGAATCAATGACTAACACATGGAATAATAGCAAAGCCCAGCTCCCTTGCTTCAAGGTGGGGCAAATTCTGCATTTCTAGCCTGCTCCCCACCCCCTGTGGCACAGGTGCAGCTTCCCCTGAAATCAGTAACTTCCCTGGTCTCTCCCCTTCCCGTCCTCCCTCCTTCTCCCTGACTCCCTTGCCCACTTCCCCTAGGTAGTTCTGCATCAATCAATCATTTGCATGTGTACTTCACTTTGTCTCAGAACCCATTTCTAAGGAACTTCATCTGAAGCAACAGCTGTAAAATGATAAAAGTCACTCTAAGATCATCCATCAAGTACTGATGGTTTGTGTTGTAGTGACAGTCATCTAAGACTTGGGATCATCAAGGCAGCAAACTCAGAAAGGGGCCTCCTCTTCCCAGACTGATGGGCTGGCAGAGAGATCATTTCTGGTGAACTTGAAAATTTGTAAAACCAGAATGTTTGCAATAGAAAATCTCTCTCTGGAGAGCACAGGACAAAGAAAGCGGAATGAGGGGTGGGAGAGGTAGCAGAGGCTGCGTCCGACATACACAGGCAGGCACATCTGTTTCTAAATTGCATGAGGAATTTAGACCTTGCTCATTTTTTTTTTTTATTTTTTTGACAGGCAGAGTGGACAGTGAGAGAGAGAGAGACAAAGGTCTTCCTTTGCCGTTGGTTCACCCTCCAATGGCCGCCGCGGCCGGCGCGCTGCGGCCGGCGCACCGCGCTGATCCGATGGCAGGAGCCAGGAGCCAGGTGCTTTTCCTGGTCTCCCATGGGGTGCAGGGCCCAAGCACTTGGGCCATCCTCCACTGCACTCCCGGGCCACAGCAGAGAGCTGGCCTGGAAGAGGGGCAACCGGGACAGAATCCGGCGCCCCAACCGGGACTAGAACCCGGTGTGCCGGCGCCGCTAGGCGGAGGATTAGCCTAGTGAGCCGCGGCGCCGGCCCTAGACCTTGCTCATTTTAAACAAGGCTTTGATAATTCTGATATCAGTTTGCAGGTGGACACGCCCCCTGGTGACAGAAGCTGAGAAACTATCGCCTTGTCCTTGCACACCATCCACAGGGAGAATCAGAAAAGCGAGACTGCAGAAAAACGTGAAGAACAGCCATGGTCCCAAAGCCAGAGAAGCTGGGAGAGGGGCAGGGGACAGCTCGGGGAGGGGCTGCTCGTTACTCTGAGATGTGGATCCAGAGCCCACTCAGATCGCCCTTTATGGAGCCCTCCCTCCCCCTGCTTCCTGCTAATTCATCTCACCTGTATTTGAAGGTAAATAATTTCTGGCAGATAGCGTGCGGGAGTGAAAAGAAGGTGGCCATGGTCCAGATGACGGTGATGGAGATGACCCCCTTTGTGATCGAGATCCGGGGTTTTAATGGATGCATAATAACCTGGAAAGCAAGCACACACAGATCAGTGTGCTGAAGAAGTTTTGAAGCAAACAAGAACTCTGATGGCGCCACTCACTTGTCATGTAGAGCAGGTGCTATTTATAAAGCCAGGCACCCCTTACCCTCATGACTGGGCTGTATCAGGTGGCTGGGGGTGAGAGAAGGGGTGGAAAGAGGGTGTCATCTGAATTCCGAGACTCCTGGCAGGTCAATGCCTCTGGCTGGTCATACCCAGGCAGCACCAGGGTGCAGGGAGAGGTGGGGAGGCGTCAGAGAGATCAGCTTGCCAGGCACCTACAGCAAAGCTCACAAAGGAGCAAGCCATGTGCAGCCTCTAGTTTCTGGGCCTCTGCTCCCAGCTTCCCAGGATTCTAGAACCCCTAGGTGAGGAAGCACTCAGAGGGTGTGAGGCTGACAGACAGAGGAGACTCCCGTCACTCATGGAAAGCTGCACTGACACCCGTGGGGGAGCTCGGAACACCACTTGTGAGAGTGCTACAAAAACGCACTGGGGCCCACCTCTCTGTCGCCTATCGTAAAGCCAGGCTTCAGGCTGCAGTGCATCTTGGAATTGATATCACATGTCAATCAATTCTACAAGGTCTAAACAAAGACCTCAGAATTTGCAAGCATCCTCATTTTTAAGATGGCAATGAATTTTTTCCCCACTTTATGTGAAAGGCAGAGAAACTGACAGAGATCTCCCACCCACTGATTCACTCCTCAAACGCTCGCAACAGCTGGGGCTGGACCAGGGTGAAGTCAGAAACCTGGAGCTCAATCTAGGTCTCCCATATGGGTGGCTGGAACCTAAGTATTTGAACCATCATTTGCTGCCTCCCGGGGTGTGCATTAGCAGGAAGCTGCGTAGGAAACAGAGAAACTGAGAGTGGCATCATAACTGTCCTAAGAACTGTTATCTCTTAGAGAAGGCATTTTCGGATATGTGAGCACAGGGTCATGGGGAGAGGGGTCATAACACCACCTCTGCCTTAGGGTGCCATCCCAGAACACACTGGACTTTCTACAGTGCTGTGTCCTGGGGATTTTTTTCCTCCCCATTTTTTCAGCCTTATGGGAGGAAGTGATGAGGATTCAGGAGCTGCCCAGCACTTCTCCTTTCTGGAATTTGCCATCTCTGCCCCTCACAACCCTCCATGTTTGGGTTGCTGAAGTGGGAGGCAGCCTGGGGCAGAGGCTTGAAACAGGGAGCTCTGACAAAGGCCATGTTTGGGTGTATAGCACAGCCATGTATGTGGTCAGCATGAGCAAGACCTCACCCCTAGTCCCCAAGTCAACTGTCATTTAGCTGTGCTCAGTGGGCAAGGGACAGTAAGCACAGGTCACCTGAAGGTAATACAAAGCCCTTCTAGTTGAATTAAGGGAGTGAGTTAAGAAAAAGCAGGAGGGACTGGCATTGTGGCATAGCAGGTAAAGTCGCTGACTGTGACACTGACATCCCACATGGACACTGGTTCGAGTCCTGGCTACTCCACTTCTGATCCAGATCCCTGCTATAATGCACCTGGGAAAGCAGCAGAGGATGACCCAAGTCCTTGGGCCACTGCACTCATGTGGGAGACCTGGAAGAAGCTCCTGGCTTCGGCCTGGTCTGGCCTCAGCCATTGCAGCCATTGCAGCCATTTGGGGAGTGAACCAGCACATGGAAGATCCCTCTCTCTCTCCCTCTCTTGTGTGTGTGCGTGTGTGTCCTTTTCTCTCTCTGTAACTCTGCCTTTCAAATAAATAAATCTTTTTTAAAAAAAGAAAAAGGAAAGATTCATATGCAAACTTCTCACTTCGCACTAAAGCATCTTCAAGATACACGAAGAGTTAATTCCTACAAAATAGAAGCATTTCAGAGATAAAGATACTCCCAAGTCTGGCTCATCAGTTTCTTATCGGATGCATGAAACGCCTCAGAAATATCCGTATCGCACTGTCATCCAGACACTGCTCAACGATGGCAGGTGACAAGAAACTCATTACCTCCCAGGCAGGTGTGCCAACCATCAGACACTCCCGCCAGCAAAGCCCTCCTCATATTGCAGGGCATCCTTGAATCTGCACTTGGAAACCTCCCAGCCCTTGGTCCAGCAGCACCTTCACATGCCACGCAGAATCATTGCTGTCTCTCTTTGTCCTGGTGGGTGTCACGACACTGGCCTGGTAGGTTCCTTTGAGTCTTCTCAGAGCAGGGTGGTCTGAGGATCAGAGGGCTGGCTTGGAGCCAGCCAGACCTCAGTTCTATTTCTGGTTTCATCGCTCACAACCACATGACCTTGGAAAAGCTATATGTGCACTTTTCTGAGCTTTGATGGCCGAGTCAGTGTATGGCTAAACATGCAACACAGGCTCACTGAACTAGGATGTGCCAGGCCTCGTCCCAACACACCCTTCGGGTCCCCCTGGGCTCCCTCCAACACATCTCCCATGTGCTTCTGAAGAGGCTCAAGAGTGAGCAGGGACTTCCTGGCCCGGGGTGCCACTGTGCCTCCCCAGCCAGCAGCTCCTCTGCCTGGACACCCTGGGCTGCTCCCCTCCAACATTCAGCTCTCCAGAGCTGAATCATGGCCTGCTCTCCTTTCATCCACGGTCTTCCAGGTTTGCTTTTCTGCCCCCTCCCCCAACCCCCACCAACAAGCTCATTAACCTATGAGATCGAAAACGCCAAATCGTGAAGGTTCACTGGAACAGCAAGTTGGAAACAGCTTTTGGCAACAACAGCAACAAAGGATTTAGTATCCCTAAGCCAAGTCCTCACATTAACTAATAAGAAAAACAAACACACTCATTGAAAACCAGGGTAAAACCCTGTCCCCAGGAGTCCCCCGGGGTCCCAGGAAACAAAGCAAGGTTTGAGAGGCCTGTGTGCTGGGCAGAGGCACCCTTACCTGGTGGCGGTCCACAGCAATGGCCGTGAGCGTCAGTGCTGAGACATGCAGGGAGCAGTACTGGGCGAAGCGGCTGACGTGGCACATGCCCTTCCCGAACACCCACGTGCTGTTCACGAAGCGGACCTGGAGACGAGCCCACCAGAGGTCAGGAGCCAGACTCTGCCCATGACACCCACCCCTGCCATGCCCCCACCTCGGGAGCCCCCTCCCAGTTGCCCTGCTTCTCCGGACTTTCTAACCATGTGATTCCCCCAGCACAACTGATGCTTGTTCACTCAATTAAAAAACAACCCTGATGGTGCTTCTAGGCCATTAGGTGCCACGAGAGCTGGGAAGGACTTGGGCTTTGGAATAAGACTTCCAACCTCCCTCTCTCATACTTTCTTACTCTGCCACCTGGGACAACATATGTAACCTTTCTGAACCTCGTTCTCATTTTCAAAACACAAAGGCTTCAAAATTTCTACCTTAAAGTAAGACCAAATTTTTTTTAAGTCTATAAAAGGAGGAACCCCATATCTGGCAGCTTGCTAGCTGGCTGTCATTAGAAATAAATAGTAACTAGTTTTTATGTGTAGTAATAACATTCATTTCTGGCCCATCCAAGTTCAGTCCAGTGGGAGAGACATGTCTGAAAAGTTACTCTGTGTGTGGGCGGTGCTGGCAAATTTTGGCTAAGCTGGCCTTGCAACTCATTATCTGGGCAGGGGGCCCAGGAGCCTGGAGAGGTGTGGGTGGGGAAATGGGGCTCTAGGAGCAGGCCTGGTCCTCCTCCCACATTTTCGACTCAATTAGTACTTGAGCAGCTCCTCTGAGTAATGTATGTGCCCAAGAGAGATGAAACATCGATTCTGAAGCAGGCACTTCCAGTCTGGGCAGAGGAGGGCTGAACTAACTGCAATGCAAGACAGAAAGCCATCAGTGCCCTACAGAGGCCCAGACAAAGGGCTAGGAGTCCACCAAATAGAGGTGGGGGTGGGCAGAGAGAGAAGGATGACAGGTAGAAATGGAGCAAATCAGCCCAACAGAAACACGGGTAGTCCAGTGATTTCCAGCAGAGTTTTTGTCATTTAGGGCCGTCCCCTTGAGCAAAGCACTCACTCATGCCTCTGAACTTCACTTTCCTTATCTGTAAAATGGGGCCAACCCTTTCGACAGGTAACACATGTGGAGTAGGTGCAGCAGTGCCTCACAGCAAGTCCTTCACGCTGCAAACGGCCACTATGACAATGTGAGGCGGGTGAGGTGCACATGCGGGGACGACAACAAAGGCATGGGCACTGCATCAGACACCCTGGGAGCTGTCTGAGGCATCCGGCGTGGGTCAATTTGGCTGGAATGTATGGCTAAGAGTCCAGACAAGTGCAGCCAGATCACGAGACGAGGACAGCAGGCCGTGGGCTTCACTGTCTTTTGGGACAGGCACGGAGGAGCCGCTTCAGGCTTTGGAGCAGTCCCAGAACAAGACGGCTCTACTCCTCCTGCTTCTCACCTCCTGCAGTTCTGCTGCTGTCCAGTTTTCAAATCCATTCCCTCTTCTTCAGTCCCAAGGCCATGGCCCTATTACAGCTTCTTCCCAGCATTCCCCGTTCTCCTATCTGTCCCATTCTTCTATCTGTAATTTAGAGAGCACACTGCTGGGTGGATTTCTTGTTAGCCAAAAATTGGATTTTTGTTACCTTCCTGCTCAGAATCATCATGGCTCTCAGAACTGAGCCTGTTAGCATCAAGGCCCCTTTGCGATGTGGCTCCAGCCCTCCTTGGCTTCTCCCTCTCTCGCCCACTCCTCCACCGTGCTTCTCATCTCTGTTCCTCCAGCAACACGAAGCCACACAACGTTCTCTCAGCCCACTGGTCGCTCTGTCTGCACTGACCTGGGAAATACCTTCTCACCCAGGTCCCATTGAAAAGTCAATGTGAAGTCTCCTTTGACCTTCTCATGGGACTGCGAATCGTTCAGAATGAAAGATTCTCTCTTCCAGGACCCACTACATTCTCTGTATGTCTGAACCAGGGAACTGTCTATAAGCGCTTTTCTCTCAATGGTCAGAATCGGGCTGTAGTGTATAAAGTGCATGGGAAGGGGGATCAGGGAGAAAGGACACTGTCACCACCAGCCAAGGGCAGGATGCCTTGTCCAGTTGGGGAGTCTGTGCTGAGCCGGCTGAGGGGCTGGAAGACCCTCCCTGCAACCTTCTCCCTCCCCCTGGCTGCAAGTGCCTGTATGCTCTAGTAGGAATTTGGGTTGGGGCAAGGTCCATGGGCCAGGTTCAAGGCCAGGCTGCTCTGGTTTATCCTGGGTGCATAGCTGGGTTCCCAGGACCGTCCTCTCTCTTGCAGGAGAATCCCTGGGGCAGAGGTTGCCAGCTCTCAGTTGAAGTCTAGCTTAAGACCCACGTCCAACCCACCCCCTGCGTGTCTGCTAAGGACCTGGCCCTGCCTCCTGGTCTGGGCAACAGCACAAAGGCCATGCCCTGGGGCCTTGCAGATGCCATCAGGGTGGCCCAGCTCAGCCCCAGCATCCCACATGCTCAGCTCAGGACCCGAGGGAGGAGGCAAGAGGCCCCAGAGATGTTGCTTTCTTGTGCTTCAAGACAACAGAGGGGCAGTATTGGGAGGTCCCTTTGACCTTGGTTAGTGCCTAGAGGATCTCAGTTGGCCATCAATGGATTAGATGCATCCTGGCAGGAAAGCAAGACAAGTCCACGGTCTGGAGTAGTGGAAGATAAACACTGTCCCAGGGTGCTTCCAGACTCCCAGACCTCTGAAGGTGAGCTAGGGGATGCAATTCTTATCCTGGCTCTGCCAAGGTGACCTTGGACAAGGAATTGAACCTTTTTGTGTTTAGTTTCCTCTTCTGCAAAATACAACTATTCTCCTAAGTGAGGGCAAGAGAAAGCCCATACCTCTACCACATAAGGTGTGGAAGCACATTCACACAGGTGGATGGAATGGCGGGCTCATCCTCTTCTAGTTGCCTGCCAGTCATTTCTAGTTGTATGTGTGCCTGTGTGTGTGTGTCTGTGTGTGCGCCAGAGAGGGATAAACAGCTACTGCTTTGATAATAACTCAAATAACAATAAAGTTACCCTGTAAACTCCTTATCTGGGAGGTTTGTCTTGTTTTCCATGTAGCTCATGCTACAAACACATGCAGTGTGACTGTCATTCTGATTGCTCAGTCAGAGCCCTCACGGTCCCAAATTGTCCTTGAGAATCGCACTGTCTGGCCATAGACAGCACCAGCAATGCTGGGCAGCCAGACCTTGGGAAGGAAGCCATCAACCCATGTCCACCTCCTCTCCATTCTCCCTGCAACACAGCCGCATACACAGTCTCATTGTCAAATCTCAGGAGGGAAATAAAATTCCAATAAGCAGCCCAGGAAAATGTGCTGTTAACAATTCACAACTGCTTTGAGCCTCCAGTTGTGGCACAAAGCAGCTTCCTATGGTGGGGGTAGGCATTTCTGGGGTGGGGGGGTGACTTAAAAACCTCAGCTGATGATTAGGGAGCGTGATTAGGGAGCAAGCCCACACTTGGTGAGATGAAATGGGAAATCATCTACTTGAATGATTGATCCAGTGCCACCAGCCTCAGAAGCTGAGGCTTGGAAGGCGATGGAGAGAAGGGAGGGAGGAGACGGGGGAGTGAATGCAAAAGAGAAAGGGGGAAAGGGAGAGAGAATCGAAAACCAAACCCACAGACACTGGCAAGGAGAAAACAGGTAAGAGGTGAGCCAGATTAAACAGACACAGAGACTGAAGAGGACAAAGGCAAAGAGAGGCAAAAGGGAGACAGCAAGCCTTGAGAGAGGCAGAGACGAACAGAAAGACTAAGAGAAACCGAGGAGGAGAGAGTTGAGAACCTAGAAATGAGAGGGAGAGGGGAGAGACTGAGAAGTGTGAAGACAGGCAGAGGAGACAGGGAGATGAGAAGGAAGAAAAATAGGGGTCCGTGAGGGAGCCCCACAGGGAGACACGGAGGATGGGGTGTCGGGGGGTGGGGAGTGGGCGCAAAGGGGCAGCCGGCCCCGGACCCTCACCAGAGTGAAGGGGGTGTTGAGCAGCGTGATGAGGATGTCGGCGACCGCCAGGTTGACGATGAAGAGGCTGGTGGCCGAATGCATCCGCTGGTTCTTGAAGATGACATGGCACACCAGCACGTTGCCGAAGAGCGAGAAGATGATGATGAAGGAGTACGCCACGATGAGCAGGGCTTTCACCGTGGGGTTCTGGGACTCGGCCCCGTAGCGCCTCCGGCCCACAAAGTTCTGCCAGTCCGAGAACGAGTAGTTGTTCCAGAAGAAGTGTGAGGCGTTGGGCACGGCCAGGGCCGCCTCCAGGCTCTGCTGGTCTGCCCGGCCCTCGGGGCGCTCGGTGGCCCGCACCGAGGAGAAGAGGAAGAGCAGCAAGAAGTAAGGGACCATGGTGCGGGGGACCCTGCTCGCCGATCGCGAGCTAGCGGCTGGCAATGTGGCGGGGCGCTGCGCGGAGCTGAGCGCGCGCGGCTGTCCCGGGAGAGCAGGGAGCCCTGCACCGCGCAGCGCGGCGCGCAGCAGACCCAGTGGGCGCGCGCGGGGCGATTTCGGCACTTTTCCGTCTCGGCTCCCACCAGGCTGCGAGCGAGCGCCTCTGCCCAATGGGCTGCGCGGCGGCGACCGTGACGCTTGGGCTCTGACAAGCCTCGCTCCCCGCAGCGTGGCCGGCGGCGCGGCAGGGGCTCCCGCGCCGGCCCGCTCCCTCGGCGCGGGCTCCTCCCCTAACGCACAGCCCAGGGCCCCCGTGGTTCTACTTAGCGTCCTACAGAGGGAGCAGGCGGCAGGTGCAAGCCTCCCCAGGAGATGAGCGGGCTGGTGGGGAGGTCCCACGGCGGCGGTGCCCGGGTCTCCTTGTTCAAGGACAAGAATGAATTGCCTGTGTCACTAGCTGAGGTTTAGCCTTGGCGCGGGGTCGGCACTGAAGTGGCTCACAGAACAAAACAATGACACGGAGACCCCTGAGTTTTGGCAGCCACCTCCTCCCGCCCCTCCTTCAAACACCTGGATTTCAGGTTTGCTGAGGAGGTTATTAAAGGCTTACTGTGTCTCTAACAGCCCCGGGAATGCAACACGAGGGGCTTTGCTTGGCACAGAAACTCTCCACAGCCCTTCTGACGGATCAGAGTCCACGGAAGTAAGGGGCTTCGCTGCGTGTCTGCTTCTTGGGCCGTTTTGGAAGTTGTCTCTGTCAGGGATATTATGGTATTCGTCCCCCCTCCTTCTCCAGCTCACCGTTCTTCGCTCCCACTGTGCGGGCTGTCCCTGCCAGACACCCACTGCCTGACCTTGTGGTTATGGAACCAGGGGCTAATCCCGGCTTTGTCACTTGCTAGCTGTGAAATCTTGCGCAGGTTTTTTTGACGTCCCTGGTGTTGGTTAAGGGTTTTTCTTTTCTTATTTGTGGGGTCTACCCCTGTGTAGAAGTCCCATCACAATGAGCTCTGGCACAAGAGACGCAGTAATTAGTTGGCTACTTGTAACTATACTTCCTACCCAGCATCGACTCTCTTCCTATTGGGTCATCTCTGGCCCTGCTGAGCAGTGCCCTTAAGCAGACTCTTAACAAATGCTCAAGCCCAGGTACCTTCCAAACTGTCCACATGACCCTGCCACCAAAGTCATCGCACAACACTAGGACATGGGAGGAAGTTCCAGTCACCTCTCACTTTGGACCTTTTCTGGAACAGTAGACATCAGCTCCTGCACTCCACTGAACTCCAGGTGGACAGGTCAAGTTCTCCTGTTAATAAGGAATTAGAAAGTGTGTTGATAAGTGGACAAGTGGGTTGATAATAAAGTAAAGGATGCATCTCTCCGGGTGGGAGACAGGGAAGTGTTCCCAGAGTAAGTGACACTTTAGCTCAATCCTAAGGGAGCAGCAGGAGACAGGACATGGAGGAGGCGGCAGAGGGAAGACAGAGTACTCCCTAAGGAAGGGGTCATAGCCCACCCACAGGCATGGAGGCGAGTGTGAACAAGGCACAGGAAATGACTGCAAGTGTGAAGTAGCTAGACCGGGTTGTGTAAGCTCAGTGGAGAGTGGGGGCTGGAGTCAGGAGCCTGAACAAGAGGGCCTCATAGGTCAAGCTAAGGGTTTGATGATTTCCTGAGGGCAAGGGGAATGTTGGAAGGGCTTTAGGAAGACACTGACATGATGAGGTTTGCATTTCAGAAAGAACACTCTAGCATCTGAGAGGAGACTAGAGAAAGCTCTGGCTTGCAGCAGGAGGTCTGAAGGTTGTTCAGGTGATCCAGACATGGAGGTGAGACCTGCTTCGAGGTGCCCGCGTAGGGAGGAGCATGATTGATAGAGATTACATGGCAGAGCCAAGGAGGACTGCCTTCAGTTTGGTTGTAGTTAAACACACACACACACACAAAGCACAGAACAACCTGCTTTAAACCTGTCCTTGAGCTTTTAGCTTGTTGTTTTTCTCCATTAATTTAGGAAGAGAAGGTGGCCAATGAAGAGTATATTGTCAATCCAGTTACCACCGTGGGTGACTGGAACTTACTGCTGCTCCTATAGCTAGTATACAGCTTAGACAGCGCCAATGCAGCCAACAGGTGAGCGGGCTGGGACAGCCATACACCAACTGCCCTCAATTGTGGATTGAAGTCATCTTCTAGGAGTCTGTTGATTCTCTTGGACTTCTGGGCTGCCAAGGAGGCAGCTCAGTGGACTCCAGAGGCAAAAGAAGCCCTCGATGCTGGCAGAAGGAGGTTGGCCAGGCATACTCTGAAGGGGTGGTGAGTACTGACAGTATCCGAAGTGGGCATGAAGTCTACCCCACCCTTTCCCTAGGCATTCAGCTCTCCCCAGCCAGGCATGGGCCTCCTGTGCCCTCCTGAACTTCCTGCCCAGGACCATTACCCTGGATTTCTGGAACATCCTGGTCTTATTAAACAAGAGCATCTTCCCACCTTACCTCACACTAAGGCTAAATTCTTAAAAGAAATTCTTTCCTGAGAGGCTTTAGGAGTCCTATAAATTGCCATCTCTCTTACTAAGGAGTTCTAGAAAGACATAAGCTGCTGGGACAGAATGGACAACTCCTTTTGTATATTCTGAATAAAACTAAGGACACTGCATATAATCAGTATGTTCCAAAGTTTAGTTAAATCTCCACAGCTCTAATAATTGTTCCATGCTTGAATGCACTTGAAAAAGTTTATGAAAAATAAAATTAAAAGCCACGTTTGTTTGAAATCTATGGAGATGAGGGGTCTTCAGAAAGTTCGTGATGGGCTGGCACTGTGGAGCAGCTGGTCAAGTTGCCATCTGCAGGGCTGGCATCCCCTATGGGTGCCAGTTCCAGTCCTAGCTGCTCCACTTCCAATTCAGCTCTCTGCTAATGGCCTGGGAAAAACAGTAGAAGATGGCCCAAGTGCTTGGGCCCCTGCACCACATGGGAGACCCAGAAGCAGCTCCTGGCTCCTAGCTCCTAGCTCTAGCCTGGCCCATCCCTGACCATTTCAGCCATCTGGGGAGTGAATCAGTGGGTGGAAGACCTCTCTTTCTCTGTCTCCCCATTCCCTCTCTGTGTGTAACTCTTTTGAATAAATAAATAAATCTTAACAAAAAATAACAAAAGTTCATGAAAAAATGTTTGCTATGAAAAAACTCTGCATGGATTAAACATGCCAAAGAGCAGTTTAACATTGAACTCTCCAAATAGTATCAAAACAAACAAAAATATTAAATCATTTCATAGACATTTTAATAAAAATGAGACAAGCAACTATAGAATAATAAATAACAATATCACACAGAGGCTTTGAGAAACTCATCACCTAAGTATTGCAGACACCACAAATAATGCCCCTTTAACACCAATAGCAGAATGCTGGGTGCATGGTAGTTGCTCAGAATTTCCTGCAATAGTCCAAGTTGGAAGTCATCTACTTGAAATACAAAGGAAGAAAGCAGGCCTGAAATGTCAAGGACAGTGGAAGATATGTTCAAATGCAGTAATGACACAAGTGTGTGGCCAGGCTAACTAGGAATCACTTTCCAGGGACACTGGAGCGTACACATGTATATTTAACATATATAAAAGGAAATATACCCAAGTTCCAATTTACAAAAAGTTTGTGGCCTCCGATGAAATTGTAAATTGCTCAAGCTTACGTTACACCTTTCCATAGGAAGTTTTATAAATAGTGGCTCGGATTGTAGGCAGACTCGTAATAACCCATTCAACATGTAGTGTGTATAAAAAGCAGCATTAGTTATACCATAGGCTCGCTAGGTAAAGTTTGGAGCTACATGATGCCATTATTGTCAGAGAGGTCCCCCTGCTCCCATGCACACTATTACTGTTACAATAGCTCACCTTCTGAGAAAGAGACCAGTTACTATATACTAACTACAGGCCTGTAGCACAAAGGGCAGGTCATCTTGAAGCCTAAAACCATCTCCTTGTACAGAAAGGGATGGGAATTTATGGAGTTAGGGCAAATGGGGTAGAACTGGGTGAAACAAAGTGACAGAACAGGGTGAGTGCAGAGGAAAGGGGTAAGGAAAGTCTTTTGAGCATGTACCTTGACAAATCATGTCTTTTTTTAAAGATTTATTTATTTATTTGAAAGGCAGAAACAGGCGCTGTGGTGTAGCAGGTAGGGCCACCACCTGCAGTGCCGGCATCCTATATAGCCGCTGGCTCGCATCCCTACTACTCCACTTCCAATCCACTCCCTGTTTATGTGCTTGAGAGGGCAGCAGAGGATGGCCCAAGTCCTTGGGCCCCTGCACCTACATGGGAAACCCGGAGGAAGCTCCAGGCTCCTAACTTTGGATGAGCCCAGTTCTGGGCTATTGCAGCCATTTGGGGAGTGAACCAGCAGATGGAAGACCTTTCTCTCTCTCTCTCTCTGCTTCTGCCTTTGTGTAACTCTGCCTTTCAAATAAATAAATAAATCTTAAAAAAGAAAAGAAAAGGCAGAGTTTCAGAGAGGCAGAAGCAGAGGCAGAGAGAGAGAGATCTTCCATCTGCTGGTTCACTCCCCAGATGGCTACAATGGCTAGAGCTGAGCCAATCTGAAGCCAGGAGCCAGGTCTCCCATGTGGGTGCAAGGCCCAAGGACTTGGGCCATCTTCTACTGCTTTCCTGGGCCATAGCAGAGAGCTGGATCGGAAGTGGAGCAGCCAGGACTTGAACAAGTATCCATACGGGATGCTGGAACTGCAGGTGGTGGCTTTACCTGCTACACCATGGCACCAACCCCAAATCATGTCTTTATATACATCCTACATTCTAGGGTGGTTAGTGAAATGTAATCAGAGGTGTGTCACTCAACATAATGAACCACTAGCTCTCAGGTCAGCCTGTGTCTATCTGTGCAGGCTCCAGTTGCAAGGCTGGCTGCAACCAGTTCCATCCAGTTTTATGGGGGGCCTTATAAAGACAGCTCAACAGATATCTTTTGTAAAAGCAACTATTATGGGATTGCAAGTTACTATGCAACAGGTAGGCAAAGAACTATTGTGAGCTCTAAGTATATTAGGCAGCCACAGGCAGCTTGCTGTTAAGCAAGGTCACACCATGACAGGGCGGGCCGGGGGAGGAAGGTCCTTTTGTCTACTGTTTCCTGTTCTCCATTTTCTGCTCATGTTGAATTAAATGTCGCATAGGGGATCTCAGCCACCTCCACTGATTT